TATTAAATTGTTTATAGTTATCGTGGCTTGTTCTTGGTGGGGGGGGCCAAGCTGGATTTCATGGCTCACCTTTCTTCCCTGAGCTTGCACGTTCGTGGGATCTTTTCGCTTTGTCTTGTTTGTTTATGCGTGGCAGGGAACCTCGAAAAACAATGCAGGAATGGTTTTCGGAGTGTGGGGCTATGGGTTTGAAACATGCATGTCAGTGCACCATAAACCACATCCCTGTTGCGGCCAAGTTCGTTCTTCTGGCCAACTGGAACACAAAGGAAACAGGGAAGAAGAGTGGCAATAGAATGAACGAACATATTGACATTGGGGCCGGTAGACGACATAAGGCAGGACATAAGATGCGTCCACTGGCGCATGCTGACGCCAGAGGCTCTCTCTTTGCATCTAACCCCAAAACATGCCAAGATCGCGCTACGCAAGCTGCCTGAGCAATGTTCGCCACCCTCTCTATGTCTAAAATAACTGAGAGCAAAGGCACGTGTGAGAAACAAACAATTGAGAAGGAGCCCCTTGTCCACTTGCACGCTTGTTCAAGCGCCGGTAGTGGTGTTTGACCGAACCTTGAGTTGATCGACTTGCAACTTCCGCGGCCCCGGCCGCTAGCGCAGACAGGAGCTCCTCATACCTCAGAGGCACGCTCCAGTGCCCCGGCCTTGCCTCTGCCTGCTGGGTGTTTTTGTTTTTACCCGACTTAGCCGAGGGCAAGAGCACACCTTTGGCATTAAAAAGCTCTTTGTGCATTTGGCGGGTAATTGCACCGCTGCTTCCTCAACCCCCTCGCAGGTTGGCACACCAAGGAGTCTCCTGCAAGGCTCTGGTATAGCTTGCTGGAGAAGGGCTCTGCATTACGTGGGGCTGCATGCTCCCCTGTTCCCACTAAAAAACGCTTTGCTTTCGTTCGGCGAGGGGTTTCTGCTGCTTGGCTGTCTGCGCGAAGTCCTCGCATCACCTATGCTATCACACTGAAAGCCTACGCTCCGCGCACGGGAGATTCCCAGAGGCTCGTGGGGCTTTCAATGGAAGACCCGACCCCTCCATTAGACACCCCGCTTCGGTGTGTGGGGGTCTCAACACCTGGCTGTTAAATCGGGCCCTAAATAGATCGGGAGCCTCTGGGTTACAACATTTCCTGTGCAGCCTGGCCCTTTACAAGCCGGCTCTATGCCTGTACCCGAGGAAGTGGATGACTCAGAGCTGCGCCTGGCCTTTGCGCACCTTACACCTGGCTTACGTGCGCGACCCCCAGCAAAACCGCGAGTCCAGGTCTTAGGGCCATCCCTGCAACTTGCTGAGCTGATGCGGCGCCAAATCAGGCACCTGCACATTGAGCGGGGCATCTGAACATCCTCACAACATCTGGCCGTGACACAATGCCTTCTCGAAGCCTCCAATAGGAATATCTATGCCAGCACCTGATGTCGTTTATGCCTTCGTGTGGCGGATTCATCCTGAAAATACTCTCAATTCAACTGACCCGCCTGTGGCAAACTAGGAGCCGAGATGATAAAGTCTATTGCGCGAGAAAGTAGGTCTAGACAAATGTTGACTTTCCATCTAACTCTGCTCCAACTCTGCTCCTGTGCCCCTGGGCCGAAGAAACTTGTACGAGAATTGGCCGAAAGAATGCTCCAAGGCATTCGCAAGAACGATTCTGCTCTCCGTTGTGCCGAAAAGCATGTCTCCCCTGACCCCAACAAACACTTGCTTGCCAGTCATGATTATTTCAACTATTCATCCAAATCAGCCAAACAAGGAAGACAATCTGCCCATGTGACTGTGGCTCCGTGCTGTGGCCGCCGAGTGTGCCCTTGGGGCGTCCACTGGTTGACCCGGTCCTGGCGAAGAACGTGAGGCGCGGAAAAGCGATCATATCTTGGTTTCGAAAGAATGGCCCGGGACTAAAAAACCTTGTGGCGACGTGTGTTCTGGATTGATTTCGGTTTAGACAGCACAGCAACACCTGGTGCAACAAGATCTCATCGACACCTTTTCTGCGTTAAAGGACTTCATGGCCCCAAGCGAACCCGCACGCCCCCCAAAGTCTTCCAAGGATAGGGTGCTTGCAAAAAGGTTGCTCATCGAAACAACCAAGGCCGCACACAAAGACAAAGCGAAACTGCTCATTGAACAAGTGGCCAGCTTCAAACAACCCAACAAAATTTGCAATGGTGAAAGTACATGGCAGCATTCTCTTTATATCCGTAGGTAAAGAGGATGACCAAACCAACATGGGGGAGTTGTGCCTACCGTAACCCAGCTAGAAAACAAATGACGCGACATATTCATTCAAACGCTATGAGACAGCATCCCTTTCAGGGCCCTTCCGAGTGGGCTGATTCCCTACCCGCCATGTGCTCGCAGTCCACGGTACCCTTGCCAGCTTTGCCGCTAGCTGACGCTTGCCTCCATCTTTTGCGCGTACGCGGACAGAGTAGGCATGCATCAGACCCGGAGGGCGCCTTGGCAGGGATGTGCGCCAAACGAAATATACATACATGGTGGTTCCGGAAGGTACCAACCAACAGAATCTCATAGATGGAGTAGCGGGGTCTTTGAGGCTGTTTCCCTGGCGGCTTTACGCCTGTGACAGGCAGCATGCCTTGCTCTGAGCTGTCTGTGTCCGCACTTCACCTGTCTCAGCCTCGCTCGCGTGGAGTGCTTTTGGCTGCTGTATACTTTGCTCGATTTGCACCTGCTGGCAGGTAAGCAGTGTGTCACCTGCTCAAAGCGTCCATCTGGGAGGTGGATGAGTCTGACAAAGTGATCGCTTGTCCAGACGAGGCGCCAAGTTTGGAACCCCAATACTGGGTTGCTCAATATGGGAAGGATATCTAATCCAAATCCGCATGTGGACCAACAAGGCATCTGGCATCACCTGGAACAGCGAAGGTTTGATCTTGAATAGGCAACCCGCTTGTCAAGCCCCAAGATCAAGCGCTGAGAGCCCCGCGGCTGTGCGCCCGCATCTTGTGGGCTGGCACAGCTACGCTGAGGAACGGCCGCATGCAAGCATCCTGCCCGCCAAACCTGAAGATCTTGCGCAGGTTGAAAGGGAACCCAAACAAACTGCTCCCACCGGAAAGGAACCTCCTCCTGTCAACCTGCAGGTCAGCTGCACTTGTCCCTGTCCTTTCCAGCAATATCCATTTTAGGAAATCGCCGAACGATGTGCAGCATGTTTGAATGCCTGAAGATGTTTGAAGAGTTAGCATTTCAAAGATGACTTTTGCTGCCATCGCCATCGACCATCTGCTGGAAGCTAACGGAGTGTTCTACGCAGGCTTTCCTCAAGTAATGAACAAATACTGCTTTCCCTGTGGCCATGCCGAGAGAAAGACACTGTTTCTGTAGTCGTTGAAACCAAAAGGAACTCCATCCTGAACAGGAGTGCAAATGGACAACTGGGTGATGCATCCCTGTGCAAGCTTTCACGAGTTCGGAAAGAGTAACACTGTCAGAGCCACAAACAAGCCGCCCCCAAACGAACAGTTGGACCTTCATCCATCCCTATGCGTTTCTAGGCCAGGCCCCTTGCAAAGAGAAAACCCAACTTGGCAATTGGCGGTTTGGATTCGTTTGCTATGGGTTTTGGCCCCTTTTGGAGGTCATAGTTTGGTTGATTCAGCATTGGGATTGCTGGGTGCTGAGTAAGCCAATTCGTCCGTGTATCCCGGGATATCACGGGATATCCCAAGCCGCGCCCTCCCACAGCATCCCAGAAACCTACTCACCTCAGGGAATTTTTGAACACCAGCTCACCCCACCCATTCCGGGCAGCCTAGAACAAACAGGAACACCTTTTGCCGTCTTTCTCTGAGGCAAAAGGGCCGACAAAGAACTGGAAAAAGCGAACGCCCACCATGTTGAGGGCGGCACCTCCTTCCGGTGCAGCGGTTGTCCACAACTTGCCGCCTTTTTCGATCATCAGCGGTTCTCCCATTCGGACCTAGTGCCGCAGTTCTGGGCGGGTCCTTTCCGGAAATCACAAGTCAGAAGCGAAAACTGGTGCTCACATAACATTGCTGTCTCCAGGGGCCACCGCCTGTCCGCATTCCTTTGGTGCATTCAGAACATCCAAGTCAGCTCTAAGCTCAAACTAACCTTCAACTGGGGACCTTCATTCATGGGAATTGATGCCTTCCAATCGTCCTGCCATTGTAAGGGTGCTCCCGATGTTGTGTTGTTTTTTGTTTTTTTTGTTATACCCGTATGCTTCTATCTCCAAAATATTGATGTCCATCAAACACTTGCAAACCAGGGCTTAGCATCTGTCAGCTGGCAGCGATATTGAAATTATGCTGCCAGATTCGTTCTATTCCACGAGGGGATGCCATCAAGAAAAGAAAAAAACAACTTCACAGGGGTCAGTTTCTTGCCCACTACCGGGTCGATTGAAGCAACACCTGCAATTCTAAGCTGTCGGAGAAAAAGTAACCCTTTTTTTGGGTTTACAATCTTTAGTGAAGGCCCGTCAGACAAAAATGGTACTTACTGCAAGGCTGCGGCACAACTGGGTTGCACAAGGTGCAGGTGTCCCCTTTCAGAGCTCCGTACAGCTGCAAGAGCCGATTCAAGATAAATCCTCGAATTCGCGACCAGGTTCATTGGTGAAAAGTTGATCTGCCACTCCCCGACCAAAACAAACACAGGAAAAACCACGGAATCTCCTAAGCTACGTTTCCAACAATCATGGAAATGGCGATTGGGGACAGTCTTGGGGATTCCCCTGAAGCCCGCCGGTCGTCCACTTCCATGGGAGTATGCGGGAAAGGCTCTCTCGGTGCATCAGTGCCCTGTGCAGCTGCCAGGCTGGCAACTCGCACTGGAGGCACTGGAGTGGCGTTTGCTTTGGGCACGCAACACTCCAAGAACACACGGGAAGGGATACATACAGGCCTCATTGAAAACCACTAGCTGGTCCAAATCGCTGCCGGATTTTGGGCTGCATCCTCGAATAGGGACCCCGTGGAAAGTGCAACAACCAAATATGCAACATCCCCAAGCCCAAAATGATGAGCGAGATAGTGCCCAGCCTTCCTTTGTAAAGCGAGCGCTTCACAGAAGTGTCTTGCGCGAAAAAAATGGCGCACCCATGACTGGGCCCCTGCTTTGCGCGCACGCATGGACAGCTAAGCGGGGCACTTGGAAATGCCCTGCGCAAGTGAAACATGGTGAGACCTGCGAATCATTTGTCTGAGGCAGGTTGTCGTTGCAAGTCGTCCACCTGGAAGCTTTACTATCACAAATGCAGAATCCCAGCCCAACACTGGAACACCAAGAAAGAAACAAAAACGTGGTACCTTGCAATTGCACTGGCAAGACAAGTGTAGACACAAAAGCCTAGTCCATTGACACGGGCAAACCATTCTCAACTCGGGCCTTTTCCCTGGACCTGATGGGCCGGGATCTCCAGGAATTTCAGCCCTGGGTGCTTCACCCCAAGTGGAGCTCCTCAGGACGACAAGGTCCTCCAGTAGAGAGGTTGGAATCGGAATAAGGGTACACTTTCTTTTTTTCCTGTAGTGTATTTTAGTAGGGTACTGGGGGACTTGGACGAGCCTCCGAGATTTCACCTGAAGTCGAAGATGGACTTCGACTCCGCGATGTCCGCGCCGCCCACGGCCCCCGCCACCTCCTTGCGCAGGTCCATGACGTCGTCGCGGAGCTGCTCCAAAGTGGCGTAGACCGCTTTGGTGGCCAACAGCGTCGCCACGGTGTCCTTGGGAAAGGACTCAAGCGAATTCTGCCAGAAAAATGCTCACAACTGGGCAACTTTGCCAAAAATGCCAGAAAAATGCCCACACCACGCAGGTAAAACAAGGTCAGGTTCCTGAAACACGTTGAACAGTACACCCGGTTTTAGGTCTTTAGCGGCAGCAGGTAGGTCCCTTCTTCCCAAATATCGCTTTGCCCATTCACGTGCCGAATGACAAGACACTGGCCGGGCCTCTGCACGCCACGAGCTTTCAGCGTGTTGTGTTTCAAAAGGGGGTAAGAACCACATGTAAACCGTTCATCACGGGAGGGATAAGGCAAAACGAGGCTTTTACAAAGGAATCTCCACCCAAGTTGAATTTGCAAGGGAGTTGAGCAAAAAGAGGCAAAACTGCTGCAGCGAGCAGCTCCATGTAGCCCCATGGCTCACCATTTCAATCTGTAATGTTGGAAGGTCATGCTCAGGAAATAACGGTTCCTTTTCGCTGCTAATTCTCTTGTCTTTTCTCTTTGGTGTTCATCATCTTGAAATTTGTTCGGCTACAATTGGATCAGAGGAACTCCCAATATAAAGTGTTAGTTAACAGCTTCATTTCCTTCGCTGTTCATTCCGATCACAAATCATTAAAATATGTTACATGGCACTTGTCCTTTCTTCTTTGATTAATGCTTTTCTACTTCTATTATTATGCTCAGTATTAATGTTCCTTTTCTTTTGCTGTATATTTAATATTCTGGTTGTAACAGATATGAGATAGACACCTTCGGTTTATCGCCGGGTGCGAGCAGTCCGAGCCGTGCGCGGCGTGCGCCGGGGCGCCGTCTTCTTGAGCTCCCCGCGGACCTTGAGCAGCCCCTGGGCGAGCTCCGCCAGGTGCAGCGTGCCGCTGCTGTCCGCGTCCAAGGCCTCGAACAAGTTGGCGCGGTCCTTTGGCAGGTCTAAGTCGTCCATCAGATGCTGGACCTGGCGGTCCTGCGGGCTTTTTTCTTGGCTTTTGTTTTTTTGGGGGTGTTCAGGTGCCCTTGGATGGATGCTGTTTTGAGTGTATTGCCCTTTGAGGGTTGGCTTTTTATGGGACGAACGGGAAATCGCAAGCTTGGGGTCCTGCCAGTCAGCAGGATTAACGATGAATTTGGCCCTTTGACCACTTCCTACAACCATGAAACATGTCTGTACAGAAACGTTCAACACTAGTACTGACATAACCCGACTTCACCCGAAAGGGCGATCTTCAGCGAGACAGTTTCTTGAGGTCCTGGATGACAAGCAGAAATAATTCCTTGCTGATTTGCATCTGGTCCCCTTGCATTTCATCATCCTCTCGCGCCCCCGGACTGCTGGGCTGCCTCGTCAAATCCTCGCGAGCTGGATATAGCTGGACATCCAAATTGCAGCTGGACATCCAATACTAAACTGAAGGGCCAGCAAGGTTTGCCCACGAAGCACTACCCAAACATTTGTTTTGCCAACCTGTCAAACAAGTAGCTTTCCCTTTTGCTTAGAACCGCCAACGCATGTGCCTCCCAAACATGTTTTCTCTAAACTAAAGGTTGTTTAAAGATTCACAAGGACGAATCAGCTTTCTCTCACTAGCAGGAAACCCTACGCAGTCAATCAGCCATTTTTGGCTCTAAACAAACAGTTTTTGCCATTTAAAGTCATATTACCCAAGAAGGCACGACCCGAAGAGGTTGTCCAGGTTCCTGTTTCCAGTTCAATTGGCCAGGAAGGGGCCAAGAGTAAAAGGACGAGGACCGAAGGCAGTTTTGGCCACTTGTCTCCGGGGGGGGGGGCCTTTACTAGTCAGGGGTAACCATTAGGGAAGGCAAAATAGACTACAGCTTAGGTCGACCAAAAGGCTGGTCTTCTAAACCAAGGGTGACTCCTAGTGGCCGGGGACGATCCACGAAGTAATACTTTCTGCGATGCCACGTTTGAATCCAAGGAAAAAGGGAAACACTTGGCCTGAGAACCACCAAGAGGCCTCCGAGCTCACGCCAAAAAAGGGTTTCCCGCGGGGGCAGGGGGAGGCTTGCTGAACCGACTGCTGCCCTTCGCCTTTGAATTGAGGGTCTTTTGGAGCATTACGCGGATGGTTTATGTGCACAAATTCAAGGCACGACTTTCAGAGTACAACTGGAACCCTGGAATGTCGAACACAAGAATATGCCACCCTCCCAACAACTGGACTTCAGTTGCCCGGAGACCTATAGTAGGGAACCTTTTCACCTTTTCTGGGCTCTTCCATTCAGAATCCACGTTGGTGTGCCCTTTCCTTGGACAACACTACCCAAGGGACATGGGCTTTAAACATGCCGTGTCCCTGAAAAATTGGGCACTTGTTTCAAGCTGCACTTGTGGGAAGTGTCGCAAATCCTTCTCAACTCCACAAAATGCCCTCAACCTCGCCCGCACTGGCCTCATCCTCGGCTTCCTCTTCAATCTCCCGGCTCCGCTTCTCATGGGCTTGCTTGAACCTCCTAAGCCGAGCTTGATTGGTCAAGAGCCGGCTTCCTGGGTTAAGCCCAAGCAACCTCCCAACAAAACCTTGCCACCAGGTGATCTTCAACAAGAGCTGGCATCTTGCTTTTGTGCAGAACTGCGAAGCTTAGTTCCTGAGTGGATTGGCCAAACAACTCTTAACTGCCACTAAAACAGCCTTCCCAAAAGGTGTAAAAGGCCAGGAAGTCGGTTACCCCTTGGCACATGAACATGGAACTCCCTGAACAAAAACCGCTTCTGCAAGCGTTTGGGGGGCTATGCTCATGTTCACCTGCGGAAGAGCAAACCCTGCACAGGGCAAACAAGCTCTGATGGAGCAAACCTTACACCGAAATATGGTCCCAGCCCTGTATTACTGTGTTTGGCCCTGCCGGCAATCAGCATCATGCCATCTGACCCACCCCTGAACTTCTGACTTTTGACATCGACTGACCGTGACTACCCCGAAGCTCGGACAGAAATGGCTAACTCCATGCCATGCCGTGCAGGATTGCTGTCCCACTGAGGCGAACCTCTCAACCCGTGTCACATTATCAAACAAAGGCGTCGCTTCTTGCGTCACAACGCTGTAACAGTTACTCGCGCAACTGCATGGAACTCCCAAACATATCCTCCTAATCCTCTGCAGTGTTATCTGTGTTTCAGGCTCCTTGGACGTAAAGAGTTCGATCGCTTTCCGCTATGCTCTGTCAAACAGGTTTTGTTTTAAAGATTAACATGCCAAGGAGAGACTGATTCAACATTGGCAAAATGGGATGGTGCTTCAACATCCTCAGTGCAAACCATCAGGATGCTGGGAAACCCGGACTCGGCTTGGGTTTCTCAAACCAAACTCCGTAGCCCGCGGTGGGACACCAATACAACAAGGTAAACCACTACTTCTCGGATTGATGTTAAACATCAAAGGGGACATTGAAGGAGCTCGTCATGGCACCTAAGCCACCCTCGTCTTTTGAGGAATTTTGAAGGACCTCCCAAGTCAGCTGTCCGTTATATTCTCCAAGTCTCTTCACCAGCTCGCGAGTGAGGCGCGCTATGCGGATGGACTCTCGTTCGTGGGCCTCGCTGGTGGTCGCCTCATTTTCGCGCGCCGCCTGGCCACGAGGTTGAACTGGTCACCCACGTGCACACGGTATAAAGCGAGTTGGAAGCCCTTTGGATTTTAGAGGTTTTTGTCCATTGGTGAGGACTTGGTTGACGTTGGAAGGGGAGCAACAAATTATATTTTAGCAGTGAAGTGGGGATTTCCCACTAAACCACAATCTGTAAAAATGTAGAATGTTTCCCAACAACAACCAGGTTTGTCCATTGGTGAGGAGTTCACCGCACAAGAAGGATAACTGGTTGTCAAGGGCCACGGCCAACTTGGCATCTCCCCCCTGCATGATCCCTCTAAATCAGTCAAGACTTTGGCTCGGTGTGCATCGGAACTGGTCACTCGACACTGCAACTAGTGTGCGCAACAGCCATTTAAGCAATGGGCCAACACAGTTGCTCCGCATTGGGTTGCGGAGTTGCACTTTCAGCTCCTCTTGAAACCTATGAAGCGTATTGTCACCACGATGTCCGCGTCAATGACTTGCAAGGCTTTTCTGCGAGCCCTTGCCTTCATGGTGATGTCGACATAAACTGCAAGGATGACGTTAAAAATTCCTTGGCCAACTCTGTGTCAATGCAAGGGCACAAACAACTGAAACTTGGCAAGAAGCGACCTCGACGCAGTTACCAAAGGGATTTTCTTCCTCAAAGCGGCAATCAGCCTCCCAGCCGCTAACATGACACCTGACATTACCCTCTCCTTGGTGTCCTGTCTTCGAGGCAATCAGGGGCCAAGGCCTCTTTTGGCCGCTTGCCAGTAAAAGAACCTGACTCCTCCAAACCGTTGGACATACAGCTCAAACTTTCACAGAGGGGGGCTCCCTTATCCTAATCCAAAATCCGAGGTGGGTCCAATACAACAAGCGACACCACTACCATCTGGCATACGGATTTAGGATTGGTTTTCGACAACCCTGTCAGCAAACATTATTGACCCCAGTTGAAAGAAGTCTTCGCAGGTCAAAACTTCGACATAAACTTGGAAGAGCAAGGGCACGGGACACTACCAAACCCCGGCCGGAATCTTGACAACGCCCCCAATGCCAACGCATTCTAACTATCAACAAAGCGTCTCGTTCCTAGCCACCTCCTTAAACATGTTTGGCCTACGGTCGGACTGAACAACACCTCTGTGCCACCGCCTGCCACATGGAATGCTTGAGACTGGCTGAGGCGGCATTGCTTGACCCGCCACGTCTTTGTAGTGTCCAAAACATGCGTTCAGGGTTTTGTGGGCCCTAACCAGTCTGCCTGGGGTTCCCTTTCACCTGAAGCTTGGATTTGGAGCACGGCAAAGGTCGAAGCAAGACAATTCTGCCAATCAAGACTTAGCAGCCCATAGTGACCAGCATGTAGCCAGCCACATAGCCCAGAACGAAGATGGCCCCAAACTCTTTGGCCAGTAGGGGTGCCAGGGGCGCCCCATCCTCGCCAATACACTCCCCGGAATAGCACCGGAAGATTGTGAACATGGTGGTGGGCACCGAGCGAAAGAGCTCCTCAGAGTGGCCGGAGATCGGGCGCGAATCTTGATGCGGATCAAAGGTGTGCCCGCTAAGATCACTCCAAATCAAACAGGGGTTTACGAATTCAGGTTCCCATTCAGAGTTCTGGATGGAACAAACCAGTCAATGCTTCTCTGGTCTTTGTATAGGTAAATTTCGAAGAATAAGGGGTATTGGGCACTTGGGAATACTTGTTTGGTCACGCAGAGCGTGCAAATCACACTTGGTTTGCTTCTTTTTTCATAATTCATTGTAGGGAGTTCCCATACCCCTTGCCGACACATTTCCGCAAGGTATCGCAATCTTGGGCTCCGGACCGGGCCCAAACAAGTGCAAGAGGGGTAAAACAGCTACAACCCATCGAAAATTCCAGGGCTTTGTTTGTTCCTACTTGGCAGACTTAGGCAATCCACCGTGCCACCCACCCTCAAAAGCGCGGCAGCAGTTCCATATCTTCATTCTGCTCGGGTGTGCATAAACACTGTCTCTTTTGGGGAGATCAACCCGCAGGCCCTCTTTCCTTCACGCCAGCAAACAAATTGATGGTAAAGGGCCCATGCCATTTCTCCAAACTGTATGTCGAGCAAAGTGACATCTTCAAATTTACGCTCCAACAAGGCGGCTCAGGGAAAACCACCCCCCAAACTCAAATTGCCCATCTCGCTTTTCAACCATGTAAAAAAGCACCAATTTGTGTAGACTAGCTCGTTGTGGTTTCCCTTTTCAAGCGGACCAAAACGTGGCCAATTCGCCAATTTGACCTCTTCGGCTCTCCTTGAGATCCGCATCTGCAAGCTCTGTTCCCCGGCCGATGGTGATGGTGGCGAAGACCGCGATCACGTAGAGCACCACGAAGAGCAGACCAAAGGCCAGGCACAACGTCCGCAAACCGGCCACCAGACCCTTGATCATCAGTTGGAGCTCCTGCCGTGTCGACATAGCTGGTACCGTCTGAAGATAAGAAACGCGGATCGGGTCCACACTCGGCATGACTGTTCACAAAATCCCCGAGAAAACATATGGCTCATATGTCCATATTTAGTGAAGCTTAAAAGTGTGAAATGATATCAAACGAGGTGCGAATGAGTGCCCCTAGTTGTGCCTGGCCCGGAAAGACCAGTAGCTTCTGAGCCTCCCTCCTTTCGTAAACTTGCCCAGCCGAAACCACAGTTCAGTACGTTTTCTGGCCCGCCGCTCCTTTGCGCAAGCGGCATGTGCCCAAATGCTATGTGAATAAGGAACAGACAAGGGGAAACAGGGCGCCAGTGAGAAACGGCGAACAATGGGTGATGTAATTTTGCACAAAGCGCCCTCACAAAACGCAAGATGAACGCAACACACTCCCCAGACTCGCCAAGCAAGGCACATGGAGAAACATCCTGTTTGCTCAAGTGACGCACACAAGCAATAACAAGGGCTTTGGGCAATTAAATGCAGACCCAGGTCACATAGAGGACATAATAACTCAAAGGAGAGGGAAACACAGTTTTCTCAACAACGGGGGAACCCGGGACCTTAAAAGGAACGAACCCCGCCGTGACTGCGACCTCTCCCTTAACCTTGTGGCAGCGCGTGCAACGCGCTCTTTTCTTGAGCCTTGAGCCAAAAAAATGACATGCGGACATGCCATTGGTCTTGTACCTTGCAACATGAGTACCTACCTCATGAACCTCTGGGCCATAAATGTCATCGTGATAATTGACTCCCCCCTCATTGACGGCACTGAGGGAGTGTCTTGGGCGCATTACCACGCCAACTTGAAGTCAAGTTTACATCACAACGACTGACGCAAGTTATTCAAGCATCGCCCAGTCACTTGCACACTTTTGGAAATTTTGCGGACATGCTGCACTAGGCAGCTGCTTTAGCGGATCTACTTTCACGAACGTCTTCAAGCTTCTCTGGAAGGTCAACACGAATGCCGAGCAACCGGATGGCATGGTCCCACTTGTTGGGTGGAAGTGCTTTCGTGAAGATGTCTGCTGACTGCATGTCTGTTTGGACGTATTCTATTGAGATGTGTTCGCTTTCAAGCTGCTCTGCGACGCAAGCGAGATTCACCTTGTGCGTGCGTTGTACACAGCGTAGCTTGGATGAGAAACCCTTCTTTGCTACGAGGATGGTCGCCTGATTGTCCTCGTGGATCTGTCTGTCCAAGATCAGCTCCCATAAGCTGAGCGCAGGAAGTGCCTCCTGGTACAGGGAGTACGCAAGAGATACGATTTCCGCCTCGGTTGTCGATCGGGAGACCGAGGTCTGCCTTTTAGACACCCACGCGAGGGGAAAGTGCGTATGTGGACCACTCAAAATCAAGAAGCCTCCGGACGTCGACTTTGCGTCTCGTTCTCCAGCGAAATCAGCGTCCACATAGAGAGAGAGATGCAACTCATCAGTCGAATCCTGAACTCGGACAGTCTTTTCGGGTGTGTGAGGTTCCTCCACAATTCCAGCAGCGCCCTCGCTTGTCCCCGTCGAACTCATGCCTGTAGGTGCAATCTGCTCCCTTCTTGCATCCACTGTCCGTGAGGAAGAATCTGCACGTCGGCGCCGTGGCGGCATCCTTCCCTCCTCCATCCTTGCCTTTTCCTCCTCCTTTGCCAAAGTCCTTGGGCTTGTCGGGACTCCCTCCTTCTCCAGCCACCAAAGCCTTGACCTTCGCAGCCGTCCCCTGAGCCGTGCTGTGAAAACCTGCCTCAGCTTCCGCCAGCACCACGTCCGCAAACTGCAGCACCGAGTCCACCACCGGAGCCACGTCAATCCTTAAACCCGCTCTTGCAGAGTTGAGCCGGAAAGAAGTTTGAGGCGAGGCCTTGACAATCACCCCCACATACTTCTCCAGCGCTCCGACCAGCAAGGTTGCATCTGGGGTGGCGATCTTGAGTTCCTGGGCTCTCCGAAGGTAGCGCTTCCACGCCCTCAACTGCTCCAAAGCCTCCAACATAGACGTAGGTGTCCTCGGATCCACCAGCTGCCTCAACAACATCGCCCGTTCTCCCAGACCACCCGGTTGGTACCGCGTGAAGATCCGGAACAACACCTGCACGGAGGAGGTGGCTCTGTTGGCGAGGATCTCCCCTTTCAATGAGGTCGGTAACGAAGCCAACAACATCGACTGAGCCCGTTGCTCAATCCGGCCCCACTGACCGTTCCCATCACCAACTCCCTGCGGCTGCACGTACAAACGCTCCAGCGGCTCCGCCCTCAACCATTGCACGTAGGCTTCCGAGGAGAACTTCACCACCTCATCCCACCATTGACCACTCCTCGCCGATAGGTCCCTCATGATTGGGTTGATCAGAGCGAGCCAATCGCCCACCACCATCGAACCCAGCTCTCCTTCTTTCACCTCTGGCAAGGCCGGAAGCTCCACGGACCTGATGTTCTCGTTGTTTGCCATCAATGACCCCATCCAAACCGGGATCTGTCCTCCTCCTGCACCAGCCGCCGGTTGTCCTTGACCTCCAGCAGGATGCCCAGGAGGTACTCCAGCACCTCCAGGGTTTCCAGGATCTCGAGCAGGATGCCCTTCAGGTACTCGCGCCATACCAGGCCAATCACGCCCCCGTTCATCTGCATGACGCCCACCAGGTACTCCCGCTGCTCCATTTCCTCCGCATCCACTATCTCCAGCTGCCAGGTTCTGTCGCTCATCAAACAAGTCACCTCCATGATGGCTAGCCGCATCTGACCATCCCACGCCTCGAGCGTCCGGTCCTCCGCGATCTCCCAGGTCAGGAAACAAAGGCAGTCCTTCACGTCCTCGATCCCCACCTGCGGAAAAACCCACTGCAGCCAAACCACCAGCCCCAGCAGCTCCTGCCATCGGCCTCATTCCACCCCATCCCAGGGTAGTCATAGCCGCCGGCCCCTGACCTGACCGAAGTTGTAGCGCTCGCTCATCACCAGCTCCTCGTCCGGCCGCAGCTCCCGAAGATTCCAGATGTCCACCTCCGGCAGGTACTACGCCCTTCTGGCTCACTCTGCCAGGGCTTCCATAACTAGCACCTCCGTTGATCTGCTCCTTCATCTCCTTCAGCTCCGCCGCCATGTGCTGGTTCTGAGTGATCAGGCCCTTCATCATGTCGAACAATTCCCGAGGAACACCACCTGCGCTTTCAACCCGCCCATAGTTTCCACCTCCTTCAGGAAGTTGAGCTCCGGCATCACACAGCGCCAGCGGTCCCCTTCTGGCTCCTCCACCGGCAGGTCCCGAGGCCTCATGGCCCTCAACTGAGCCTCCTCTTTGGCCTTCTCCGACCAAAACCGGCGCCGCCAAGTCGCTGCTCCTCAAGGGGCCATACGCCGTCGGCGGTTCTCCCGGTCCTTGTTCCTCCGGTTCCTGGGCCGCCTCCGCAGCAGTCCTTGCCGAAGAGGACGAAAGAGCCTCCATGGCTCAGCACAGGTCGAGGTTTGGGCTCATAACCCTCTGACTCCTAAGCAGGCGCTCGTTTTCCTTCTTGAGCTAAAAAGGGGCTGTCCCCGATCAATCGTTCAGCAACTTCCAAACCCGGGGGTTGTTCCCCAGAAACATCTCATCCTCAAAGCGGATTTCAGGGCGGAGAACCTCTTCTTGCATTCAGCACTGTGAATCTTGGAATGACCGGTGCATGCACGACAACCTGGCGTTTCTATCCTCTCAACAGTTATGTATACGGATTTTGACTTGACAGCGGATGGAGTCGGTGGGGCCCCAAAGGGCGCCTCTCGCAGGGGCAAAGGTGGGGGATCTGACCCTTCTGTCTTGCCTCCATGTAATGCTCTATCTGCTGCTGCTGCGATCGGAAAGCTTGGCGGTCCGTCCTCAACGAACAATTCCGGTTCAGGGACATCGTGAACGGAAATGGAACCGTCTTTACGGAAGGCTTCATAGTCCATGACTTTGACCACGTTACGGTACCGCAACCCCGGATCGACCCTCCAACCCAAAAAGAGCGCTGGCGCCATGTTCGGATCGAGAGTGCGCTTGCCAGGAGTCTTGGTTCTGTACCAAACCAATTGTCCGAAACAGCATCTCTTCCCTTGGAACTTTTCCTTTGTGAGGGCTTCCCATTGGGTTTTACCGGGGCTGAATGGAGCAGGCCTGTCGAACGACATGGAGAGGCATGCAAATGGGTAGCTAAACGTATGCAACGAATAGGGCAACCCTGATTGCAAGTGGATGCTGCGACAGCATTCCTTCTCTTTGCGAATGTCGCGCTCCAGGACGGTATTGTGAGGCCACCTGTTAGGCAAGCTTGTCTCTGGGACGAGACCGACTTCATGGGCCACTCCTTCGAGCTCTCCTGCTGCATCCATTTTTATTAGACATGCTGGCGGCGAATCAGTGGCCCGAAGGCCATTGAACTGACGGAAGTTTTTAACATGCGCTTGCGTGTCTCGCCTACTCACGGGGTATGCGAGGCGGACGCCTGAGAAAACATCACGTACGACATGGTGGGATTTGATTCCTCCGAAACCTACTCCGAGATGTTCATCGCCCATGGCAAGAATCACAGAATCGGTAGCCAACTGTTGAAATGGTGCGGTTGGGACGTCGACTTTGTCGTCTGATCTGGTATCCTTTTTGTGTGCTACCCTTGCAGAAGTGGTCTTTGAGATTGAACACACCTTGCAAAACGGGTTCTTAGGGAAATGGGACCTCATGTGCTCAGGAGATTTCGCTTGCTCCTTCAACGCAGTATCATGTGTCGGGTCACCATCCCCGAAGGCGATCAACGGAAGTTCGTCCTCGGGAGGAGGGGCTTCCTCGGCCGCTAGCATGTTCACAGGAACCTGATCTGGCTCGCCTTCATCTGACGCTTGGCACGAGTCATCGCACAAAGAGACGACATCGTCTTCGGCCGCGCTCATAGCGGCGGCTTCAATCGGCCAGAGGTGAGTTGACGACTCTGCCAACTTCGGTTTTACCACCTCGTCATATTGGG